AGCACAAAGGACGTAAAAATTAAACGAATCATCCATATGTGAATACCTTCAAGTATTTTATACACCAAGTTTACTTTTTTCCTTTTTATAAGATTGGTAATTCTACACATTTGCTGTGGTACTATGTGATTTTTCCATACAAGATTACAGTGCGCAGTGATTAAAGCAGGACAATTAGTACACCTTCATTTCATTCATTTGTCATTGCTTTGTGTTGGGAAAATTCAGAATCCTTCTTTACCCTTACTGTAACCCCTACGGGAGATTCTTGTTAACTATATTCTCCTTACTGTATCTTATAACAGTAGTATTGCTCCTCTTAGCTGTAATTTTGTTTCTGTTAATCAACATTCCTCTATTCCCCTCTCCCCTCAATCTTTCCCAGTCTCTACTACTCATGTTTTAACTCTCTAGTCTTAAGTCATTTTTTCTGTTTCTACATATGAGGGAGAACAAGTGGTATCTCTCTTTCTGTGCCTGGCTTATTTCATATAACATACAGTCTTCTAGACTTGCCCATTTAACCTCAAATGATGGTTCATCCCTTTTAATGGATAATATTTCACTGTGTGTGTGTATATATATAACTCATGTATTTATACACGTATATATTTTTATGTTCGATTAAATGTATATAATTATGTGTGTATATATTTTTACATACACACACAGACATATACACACACATCATTTAAAAATTCATTTCATTTATCCAAAATGTTGATGAACACTCCTATGTGTACTATAGAATGTAGTGAACCTATTTTCAGAACCTATGGTTACTGAAAATAGTGCTGCAATAAATGTCAGGGTGCAGGTATCTTTATGACAACTGATTTCTTTTCCTTTGGATATATTTCTAGTAGTGAGATTGTTGGTAATACAGCGGTTCTATTTTTAGTTTTCTCAGGAACTTCCATGCTATTTTCCACAATGGCTATACTAATTTACAGCCCTATCAACGGTGTAAACGTGTGTTCCTTCCTTATATCCATGCCAGCATTTGTGATTTTTTAATATATTTGATAAGTCATTGTAACTAGGGTGAGATGATATATCACTGTGGTTTTGTCTTGCATTTCCCTAATGATTAGTGATGTTAATTGTGTACTCTGTAAAATGCTAAGAGTGGGGTGAAGTCTCTAACAATTAAAATTTTCTCTTTAACTATAGTATATACATGTATCTGGTGTGTTTTTCAAAACTCTGAGGCTGGGATTCAAACCATGTGGTCAGACATGTGGGATTCAGCTCCCTTAGCCACTAGGCTATGAGGCTGGCCCTTTTCTACCTTTTTTGAGATACCTTTCTTGAAGAAAGATCTTTTTTGTGAGTCTTTAGTGTGGATTAGGTGAGGTGTTTGGTTTTAAGTGGGCACAGTAGTGGAGTGTCTGTGGTATTTCTTCTGTTGTATCCACGGTCAGTGGTGTCTTTGAGTGCTTCAGTAATACAGACTTCAAGTACTTGTGGTATTCATGGTATAGATTTGCTGGGGGTGAGAATAACGCAGTAAACCACTTAGCTGTAAACAGCAATGGGGCCAAACGCACTGGTCAGCTATTTCTAGGAGTTCCGTCAAGCTCAGCAGTGGAGAGGGAGCAGTCGCCTGGTACAGCAAGACTTAACATGCCAGCCTGCAGTGTCTGGAGGGCTCTTGGTGAAAAGTGGGGTCCTGTGTGCTGCGACTGCAGCAGGTTCTGAGCTCAATGTTAAAGTTGCGGCCACTTGAATCTGGAGGGCTCCTGTGAGGGACACCAACTCATGTTCTAAACTGTGGTGCATACCACACTCAACATCAGAGGCCTTCAAAGCCTGGAGGGCTCCCAAAGAAAGCAGAGGCCCTTTCATTGGAGCCTCTGAGTAAGCTGGGCTCCTAGCAGAGTCCAACAGGTTTTGGAAGGCTCCCACAGAGTGGAGGGACCCTTGTGCTGGAACTGCTACTTGAGCTAAGCTCATGGGGATAGTAGCTGCAGTGTCTAGAAGGCTCTTGAAGGGGAGAAGGGCCACGTGTGCCAGCTATAGCACAACTCAGGTTTAGGTCAAGTTTGGGTAGGTGGGTCCGAGCCTGGAGGGACCCCATAGAGGGCAGGGGCACTCCTGCAGGAGTGTTAGCCAGGCTTGGCTATGGTGCTCTTGTGTTTGTTTACCTGTCTCTGGGAGTGTTCCTATTGCTGTGCTGGTCATCTGTGTCACAGAGCAAATAATGCTATATGGAGTGGGGTGCCAGTGTCATAGTCCTATTGCTCAGTCAAGATGGAGTGGCAGCTCTAGCTGCTCATGTGGGTTTGATGGGATTTGGGCAGGTTTCTCAGGGTTGTGAAGACATGCAGGATATTGGTCCTTGAGGCTTGTTCTACTCTTGCGGTCGGTTTGTTTCTAAATGGTGCAGCTTTATAACGGATGAAGTCTTAGGAAATGGGGTCCTGGTCAATCTCCTTCCTTTCATGAGGCCAGAGGCTGTGCAGTACACTGACCCAGGTAGTGAGGAATGCTGGCTATACATAGTGGCATCAGAGGCTAAGGGGCTCTC